AGTCGGTTTAATAGAAGTGGTCGGTCTAATAGAGACTGTCGGCTATTTTTCAACCATTTCTAGAGGGTCGGTTTAATAGAAGGGGTCGTCTACTAGAAGAAATACGGTAATTTATTTTTATAATAACTTTTAAAAATAATAAAATTATTAAAGCTTGTTAAAAAAAGCTTGTTAAAGCTTGTTAAAAAATATATTTATTCAAATGTAAAAAATTAATAGGTAATTTAAAGTAACAATATATTAAACACAAAAAGAAGTCATTAAATAAATTTTTTAATTGGTTATGAATGAATGATTAAATTTGAAAGTATCTTTGTTATTATTACAGTGTCTTAGACATAATGTACTTAAAAATTATAAAAATAATTTTTACGCCCTAATTATTTTACTTCTTTTAAAAATTCAAAATTTTAATTTCATAATTACGTAGATTTGTAAAGCTAAATATTTAATATTTTATAATTTTCAAATTTTAACAAATTTTTTATTCTCAAACACTTTTAATAATTTTATTATTAAATATTACAGTCATCGACATACTAAAGATAGGGGCAGAGTAGCTGAAATGAAAATTAACTATTTTCTCAGTCAAAAAATACGTTCTATGTAAAGTCGAAAGCTCTATTTGTAATCTCAGTTGACATGTTTCTGCATTTTTCATGAAAATGAAAATTGGCCGAGATATCCGGATTAAGCCGGATATCCCAAATCCTATATCCGCGGAAAAATTTTTCGGAAAATAAATGTAAATGGAATTTGATAAAGCATATTTTTCTGAGTATTTACCACAAAACCGCTTAGAAATACCATTTTACGGACCAGAGATAATTTTTTGAAAATGACATTATTCGCCTATTTTTGGTAAAAATCCAATTTTTAAGGGAAAAATGCCATTTTCAAAAAATCATATTTCTAGACCGGAAAAAGATATTTCTAAGCGGTTTTGTGTTAAAAACTCACAAAAATATGCTTTACTTTTAAATATTTTATTATTAAATATTATATTTAAAATTAGAAATATAAAAATGTCAAATTCATCATTTAATTTAATTTTATCAAATAACACCACAACTAGTCCTAGTATTATTTCAACATCCCCAGCAGTTAGATTATACTGGATAAACACTTCTAAACCATTTCAAATAATTTATGTATTTATTGTTATGATACCGTTAATTATAGCTCAGTTGATTATACTTATTTTACTCTCAAAACTTATTTTCTTAGTTAAAAGGTTCTTCAAAATTAAAATTGGAAAATATTTATTAAAATTTTCTTTAAAAAGATTTTAAAAAATTGGGCCCTAATCAAGTTTTCGAATGAACTTTTATAAGTCCTATGGAATTTTTATGCGTCAATAAATGTTTTATCAATAATTCCCCAATTGCAACTTTTATTCTTATGTTGGATCGTTGTTTGATTCTTTGGTCTACCGCTATAAATTTTAATAAATACTTTGAAACACTATTTAAATGGATGGGACCTTGTTGTTTGATACTTTGCTACTTAATAAGTTTAATACTTTATTTGAATGAACTTCCATTAAATACAAGTAATTAAAATTTTAAATGTGATTTAAGCTATAAAATATTGTTGAATTCGCTTAATCAAATAAACAATTTGCATGTTCACATGCAAGTATAAAGTTGGCCTTTTTCTAAATATAAAGGTCTCCCGACATTCCCAACCAATTCTTGACTCTTATCTTAATTTTGTTATTCACTTTCTTTTTATATTTTGACCCTAAATTGTCTCTATAAATACCCCATCCTTCTTCTCATTATCAGATTTGGCCTAACTAATCCTCTCCCTTATTATTGTATCCCATATTTATATGGAGAATAAATGAATAAATAGAATAAATATTCAATTAATGTAATTCAGTCTAATAGAAGTCCCCAAAATAGTAGAATCCAAGCTAAGCTATATAACATCAAATACAGCAAATATATTAAAGAACATTATTACTTAAATTATACTATGAACTAATTTTATTGTAAGAGAAATCTAGATCCTGTACTATGTATAGATTGTATCCTATTTCTTAATATCCTATTTCTTCCTATTTCTTAATTCAAGCTAAATTATTAAAGATTAAAGCTCTCCCAAAGAGATAACTAGACAACAATCTAATTACCCAGATTCCATTATATATAATAAAGTTTTTAATTTATTAAATTATTTTAGTCTCATTAGACTAAATCGAAAAGCACTTTCGAATAAACTATCAATAAAAAAGAAAAAATTTGTTGCATTTTTTCTTTCTATATACCTAAGTATTATAATTTAATAGAAACTTATAATTTAATTTTTAAAGCAGCTACACAGACTTGTCGTTATGTAGATTGCTTAATGACTGTATATCAAAATAGATTTCAACTTTTTATTAAAAATATGTTTGGATTTGCAAATCTTATTTGTTGCATTTTTTTCTTTTGGTCTTTAAAACATTTTGCAAGTCAATCACAAAGTTCAGCTAGAATTTTGGTTGAAAAATATTTTTTAATAAAGTTATTTATTATTTTTAGAAAAATCGTATGGTCAAATTTGCAATTTACATGGAAATTCTTTTTGAAGTTATACCTGGAGCTTTTTCAATATTTTTAAATCTTTTAAGTTTTTGTATCCATTAATAATATCATTTATTTAAAAATTATTTTATTTTTAAAGAATTTTCAGGTTCCAGTCATACTTGCTGTTCCTATAGTTAATGAAATGGCAATTACTTTATGTACTATAGTAAGTTATTTAATTAATTATATTTAATATTTTTCCCTTTTCTTTATTTTAAACAAAATATTTATTTATATTATCTTATTTTTTATTAGTTTTCTTAGCGTTTAATAAATTAAGAAACTTAATTTTAAGTAAAACTAAGTTTACTTAAAATATTTTATTTTAGGATGCTTCAATTTGTAGTATTTATTACACATATATATTTGGTCAGAAAGCTCCAACAAATATAAAGCCACCTGTAATTATTAGAACGAGGATTCCGAACAATATCATTCCGAAGAATATCAGCGCTCAGATTTAATTAAAATAATAAAGATAAATTTATGAATAATAAAATGAAAGAAATCGTTAAATAATACAAAAGATTATTCATGCAAACTTTTAATTAACAAAAATAAAATAAATAAATTAAATTTAAATTGTATTCTTTATTTAAATTTAGGGTTGAACGGGATCAGGATCTCGACCAATTTGCAAAATTCAATCCCGACCACAGTAGTCAACAGAAAAAATATCTTAAAATTGATAAATTAAATTGTAAAAAGAAAAAAACAATTTTTAATAAAATTCTTTAAGCACTAAATGTTTAGAAAGATCATTTTGCTTCCAAATATTTCAAAAATTAGTTTCAATTGAACAACAATCCAAACCAACATTTGGTTTAAATGACCAAAAATTCTTCTTTACCAAAATAGCTTTTCCAAAAAACAATTTTCCATAAGATTTTTAGTACTTTTTCGTTATCTCCCTATTTTCTTCAACATCAATACAATTATAGAAAAACAAAATCCAATCGATATTTGAAAGAATGCTATTGAATCTAGAATACTCAGCTTTATGAAAATTATATTTTGTGCCGTGCTTAACTCTAGTCTTAAAATTTAGGTGAATATCAAAAATAATTGAATTATGATCAGAACCTCTGAAAGGGACCTCAACAGAGAGTGAAAATACTAAGGATTTATTAGAGGTAAAGACGAGGTAAAGAAAATTTTACCTCTGGTAGGTAAGTTTACTATTTGATGAAAATCGGTAGATTCCAAGAAAACACAAAAAGTTGATTTAAAAGGCGTTTGAGCAGGCCCGTAGCCAGGATTTTTTTTCGGAGGGGGGGGGGGGGAAGGGGGAAAAATTTGGAATTTTAGAAGGCCGTAGGCCAAAAAATTCACTTTTTCGGCGCCGCAGGCGCCAAAAATTTGATTTTCAGTGCCGCAGGCGAAAATTTTTTGAATTTTGGACCCCAAGAAGCCAGATTTCTTCCTTTTTTAGCGCCGCAGGCGAAAATTTTTTAAATTTCAGAGGCCGTAGGCCAAAAAATTCACTTTTTTTGCCCCAGCCCTTCCCCAAATTTTTTCCTTTTTCCCATTTCGGGGGGGGGGGGGGGAATTCCCCCCCTCACCCCCCCCCCCAGGCTACGGGCCTGCGTTTGAGTATTTGGACAGGGATTTGGACAGGCCCAATTTAGATTTGGAAAGTTAAAATCACCTAGAATAAAATAAGGATACTCACTAGATAGTCATCTGGATCTGGATAATATATGTCCTAATAATTGATAACTAAATCTTCGTTAATCCATGGATTTTAGTTTTTCTGCGATGTAATTATTTTCAAATGGAATTATATTGTCGTTATGTAGATTGCTTAATGACTGTTTATCAAAATAGATTTCAACTTTTTATTAAAAATCTCGTGTTTGCTTGAGTTGTCATTTCTTCATGACGAATAAATTTAAAAATATATTTTTTTGGAATAAAATATTTTGTTAACACCCACTTAAATTTCTAGTATAAATATTTGGGCAAGAGAGGGACAATCATCTTCAATTGTCCTTATTTCACTAAAAAGCGTTGTTCCCTCTCTTGCCCCAAATTGTGAAATAATAATATATTTTGTAATTCTTTAATTGAAATAAATAAATATATAATTTTTATATATTTGGTTACCCTAAGATTTATCGATTTTAGGAAGGATAAAATTAATCTCTAAAATAGGGGAAAGATTTTATATTTGGTGCCACGACCATTTAAAGTTGGTATAACAAAAAATGGCAAGTTCTAACAGGGCGGTGTTAGAACCTGTATTAATACGTTTGGTAGGCTATTTGGAAGAAATACGGCCTATAATTAACTCGGGAGAAAGGACCGAGGAGGATACAGAAAAATTACAAAATATGTTGTTGAAAATTAAAAGAGTAGTAAAATTGTTGGAAGAAAAAACAGAAAAGTGGGATAAAAATATTAACGAACTCCCGGTAGAGGAAAGGGGAGCAGAAAGGTTTGTTTTTAATAGTTTCTTACAGGGAGAGAAACATTTGACTGAATGGATGGACAATGGGAGGGAAGCGATTGATGATATTGAAATCGCATTAGCTGATAATAGTGAGGTCGGAAGTACTCAATCAGAATTATCAGAAGAATTGGGCAATAGAGATAGAAGAAATTTAGGAAATACTCAAGCACAAACAAATCGGGAATACACTGGAGTTCCTCAGCATTTACCTCGCGCAAAATTACCAGAATTTTGGGGAGACCAGCTGAGATGGCCTGAATTTTGGCAAGCATTTGAAAGAACAGTTGATCATTTGGATATCGACTGGGGTCTTAAAGCACATTATTTAATACAATGCCTCAGGGGGAAGGCAAAAAGGACGGTCATGGGATATAGACCGATAGCAGAACATTATGTGCCATTAAAAGAATCGCTTGAGAGACAATTTGGCAATAAAAAGGCCATTAGAGACACACTACATGCAGAATTAATAAATTTGCCGGTAGCAAATGAGTCAGGTATATCGTTGCGTACTTATTTAGAAGAAGTCGAACGAATCTGTAGATCATTATTAGCAATGGGACACTCAGAGGACGAGTCTATAATAATGATGGCTATAAAAAATAAATTACCACGTAGTGTTGTACTAGAATTGTTAAAAATGGAAAAATTTGAAGGAATAACATGGGACGTTAAAAAGTTAAGAGAAGGATTATCTGAAATTGTGGCACTAAGGGAGGAAGCACAGCGGTGCACCCAAACATTGAATTCACGTTTTGGACCGCCTAGGGGTCAAATAAATAATAATAATAGTAACAATAACAAATTTTTTAATACAAATAGAAATAATCAAAGGAAATATGAGCCGGCTAGAGTATTTGCAATATCAAGCAATAAGGAATATACAAAAAATCAAAAGAGAGAAATTTTCTGTTTATTTTGTGAAGGAACGCATTTCGCAGAAAATTGTAATCGGGTAAAAAATATTTCACAAAGAATGAAGATTCTTTCGGATCAGAATCGTTGTTTTAATTGTTTGCGTCGAGGACACGCAAAATCAAATTGTCGACAAAAATTTGGCTGCATCATTTGTAAAGGGAGCCATAATAAGGTAATATGCCCAAAAATTACAGAAAAAGAAACAAAGTTTAAAGAAAATAAGGATATTAATTTGGTAAATATTAATGAACAAGTGAAAGAAAACGTGCTTTCAGTTTCAAAAAATAAAGGAGATGAAACATTATTGATGAAAGCAGACCTCATTGTTACTGAAGAAAATGAAAAGAAACGCATAAATGCAATTGGCCTATTTGATTCAGGTGCGACTATAAACTTTGTGAGTGAAGAAATAGTCGATAAATTAAAATTGAGAAAAATTGGAAAAATGGAATTAAATGTTTTACCATTCTTTCACAAGGACCCAATAAAAATAAACACGGCAAAATATTTAGTAAAAATTATATTAGAAGAAGGGGGTACAGAGGAAATAATCGCATATAAAATAAAGAAAAATTTAATGCCAAATATTAGGAGTATTGATACAAATACCAATAAAATAAAAACAATAGAAATTACACCGGATATTTTAATAAGTATAACTCATTTTTGGCGGTTCTTTAGGAAACTAAGTCCATTATCGGAGCATCTCTTTAAGGTAGAGACTTCAGTCGGACCAATAATTTGTGGAGAATTAAAAGAATTTAATTTAAAAGAACCGATTAAAAATAATGGATTAATGGCTATCTTGGGAGCAAATGATAGCCATAAAGAGGAATCAATGAATAATTTCTGGAGTTTAGAAACTATTGGTGTAAAAGATGACCCGGTTTGTATCGACGATGAAATTGCATTAAATTTATTTAATAATTCAATTAAAAATGGTAAAAATGGGAATTACATTGTAAAATGGCCATGGAAAACTGACAAAAATAATTTACCCTCTAATTTCTCATTGGCATATAAAAGGTTCTTTAATCTTATAGAAAAATTGAGAAAAACACCTGAATTATTACAAAAATATAACAATATAATAAATGACGATTTAAAAAGAGGTGTCATTGAATTTGCAGAAAAGAGAAATGGAACAATCGAACATTATATTCCCCACCATCCGGTAATAAATCCAAAGAAAATACGTATTGTATATGATGCATCAGCAAAAACTAAAGAAGGAAGGAGTTTAAATGAATGTTTATACAGAGGACCAATAATAATGCCAGATCTAGCTGGATTATTAATTCGGTTTAGAATCCCAAATATTGCTATGTGGTCAGACATAGAAAAGGCATTCCACTCTTTAGAATTAGATGTGGAAGAAAGAGAAGTGGTTAAATTTATATGGGTTAAAGATATTGAAAAACCGGTTTCTTCTCAAAATATACAATACTTTAGATTTGCCAAAGTACCGTTTGGAGTTATATCAAGTCCGTTTTTACTTTCAGCTACGGTGAGATATCATTTGGAAAAAAGTGGAGATTCAATTGCACAAATAGCAAAACAAAATTCATATGTTGATAATGTTTTAGTCGGTGCAAATACAAAGGAAGAGGCATGGCAATCATATAAAAAATTAAAAGAAATTTTCATGTCGGCACAAATGAATTTAAGGGAATTTATTTCGAATGATGAATCATTAAACAAACAATTTCCAATCGAGGATAGATTGGAAACAAAAAGGCCGAAAATACTAGGAATACCTTGGGATATAATTACAGATAAAATTTTAATTGAATTTCCAAAGGTAGAAAATATTAATAAAGTTACAAGAAGGATAGTTCTTCAACAATTGGCAAGTATGTTCGACCCACTAGGTTTTGCGTCACCTAGCATGCTTACAGCTAAACTTTTCTTTCAATCGTTATGGGAGAATAAAAGAAATTGGGATGATATATTAGACGAAAACGAGAAAAATGATTGGAAAAATATAGTCGATTCTTGGAAAACAATACCTATTGAAATTAAAAGACAAGTTACAAAAAATAATAGTAAAAATCAATTACATGTTTTTACGGATGCTTCAAAAGGAGCATACGCGGCATGTGTTTATCTACGTTCGAAATTAAATAGTCAAGTACACACAAACATTATTTACGCTAGAAATAGACTTAAACCAAAAAAGATGCCTGTTAGCATTCCTAGAATGGAATTGTTAGGAGTTGTAATAGGAACACGGGCTATAAAATTTGTTGAAAAACAAATAGGTATTGAAATCGAAGAAAAATTTTTGTGGTCAGATTCTAAACCAGTTCTTTATTGGATACAAAATGGTCAAAGAAATGAAAAATTTGTGGAAAATAGGATAAAAGAAATTCGGAAAAACCCTGAAATAAAATTTGGTTATGTAAATACAGAAAATAATCCTGCAGACATAGCAACTAGAGGTTGCACTGCTCTTGAATTAAAAGAATATATAGATTGGTGGGAAGGCCCTGACTGGTTGAAAAACCCTAAAAATCATTGGCCGGATGAATTAAATTTTGAAATAAATGAAGAAAATAAATCAGAAACAGACATTAATGGTATGGTATTTACAGCAGACATTAAAGAAACAGAAAAATTAATTGACTTTAAAAAATGGAAAAATTGGAACAAACTTATAAAATGTATTTTGTTTGTAACTATATTCTCTCGTCTTTGGCTAGAAAAGGCCAAAAAACAAATAAAAGGAGAATTTCTTAAAAATATTAGCAATTCAATCAATTCACGAAATTTTAAAAAGGTTGAACAATTTGTATTAAAAATTGCACAAATGGAAATAGATACAGAGAAAAAAGATAATATATATTATATAAAGGACGAAAATGGTTTATTAAGATTAAAAACTAGAATTAGCAATTGTGAGGCACACAATGATTTTAAACATCCAATAGTTTTACCCAAAGGATCTTTCATAGTAAAATTATTATTAATGAAAGAACATGAGGATATATTACATTCTGGTCTTGAACAACGGTTGCAAATTTTTTATCTAAATATTGGACACCTTGTGCCCGCAGAGAGGCAAAATCGGTAATTAAAGGTTGCAAAAAATGTCAAAAAATATTATCACCTAAATTCGCTTTACCAAATATGCCAATACACCCTATGGAAAGAGTCAGGAAATCTAGACCATTTAGTTATATTGGAGTGGATTATTTAGGTCCTTCATTGTGTAAAATCAATGGAGAGAAAGTAAAATTTTGGATAGCTCTTTTCACATGTTTTTGTACTCGAGCTATACATTTAGAAATTACTTTGGACCTATCAGGTCTTTCATTCTTGCATATTCTTCGGAGATTTGTTGCGCAAAGAGGCGCACCAAATAAAATATTATCTGATAATGGTAATCAATTTATTGTAATTTCAAAAGCAATAGGTGCAGAAATAACTGGTAAATGGACAAAAGAGAAAAATAATGAAGAATCATTATTAAGGAATTTTTTAATAAAGCAAAACATTGAATGGAAATTTATACCCTCATTATCACCCTGGCAAGGTGCAATTTATGAAAGAATTGTAAAATTAGTAAAGGATTGTTTTAAAAAATCATTAGGTAATTCTTTATTGGATTTGGAGGAACTTAAAACATTCGTAAAAGAAGCTGAAATGGCGGTAAATTCAAGACCGATTACTTTAGTTTCTTTGGAAAATGACGATCCTGTGGCTTTAAGGCCTATTGACTTCTTAGTTCCGACTGTAGAAGAAAATTTAGCATTAAAGGAACCCACGGAATTAGATTTCGATGAATTTAAAATTGGAAAATTAACCACAGCAGAACAAATACAGCATAAATGGAAATTAACATTAAAAACACTAAATAAATTTTGGGAACGGTGGAATCGAGAATATATGATAATACTGAGAGATAAATCACAATGGACACATAACAATGGTCGTTCCTCTTCCAATAGAAAACCAGAGATTGGAGAGGTTGTAATTGTGCATCAAGAAGGTCAACCAAGAAATACCTGGCCATTAGGAAAAATCATTGAATTAGATGGAATTCCTCCTAAAAGCGCAAAAATAAAAATTGGCAATAAAACTTTGGTAAGACCAATCAATAAAATATCTCCCCTGGAAGCAAAACAAGAGAAAAACAAGGACGAAGAAAAAACAAAAGATATGGAATTGGATAATAATAAAAAAGACGAAATAATTAAAAATAAATTGGATAGTAAAAATGATAAACAAATAAAAAATAATAACCAAAGGATAATAAACATTCATCCTATGATGACTAGGGCAAAAACATTAAAAGGTTTAACATTGACAATATTACAAATAATTTGTTTATTTACACTTACAATTGCAAGACCCTTCAGATATGAAAATTGTAGGGGATGTAATTTAAAATGTACAGATTCGGGAGTTAAAACCACGGTAGCAAATAATTTAATAAAAACAGAACTTTGCTGTATGGGAAGTTGTTTGGTTGAAATAAACAGTATTGAACAATTAAAATTCCGATTACCAAAGGATATTACAGCACTAAACTATAATTGTAGAGCCACATACTGGAGTAAAAGAAACATTTATAGAAACTGGATTTCATGTAATGCGGTCGATCCCTGTAAAAGAGTTGAAGGTTTTAGAGAAAGGCTCTTTAATCCTCAATGTGAATCAATGGAAAGTTTAATGTTGGTTGGAATATTTTTAGGTCTTTTATTAAGTATAACATTAATGTTAATGTTATTCGTTTGTAAATTCCTATTGATATTTGGAAAAATAATAAAATATGGATGGAAAGCATTCTACTCACTGAAATTATTATTTAAAATAAAGGATATTAAAAAATATAAAGATAAAGGAGAAAAACCATTAATAAATCGAGATAAAATAAAAAAGGCTAAAAAATTTAATAGAAATAGAAGATTAAATAAACTTAATCTACTAAGGATAACTCCTCTAATTATATTTTTAATAAATTATGTAAAAACGGAAGTAGAGGTAGTTGTAGTCCAGGCAAAAACAGAAGACTGTTTTAGGAAAAAAGGCAGTTCTGTATGCACAATCAATGCGGTAAATACAGTAACACTATTACCGGACGCACAAATTATTTCTTTGTCATTAAAAAATGGAAAAGGTTTAATAATGGGTGAACTTCAATTATCAATGAATGGACTTTTAATTGAATGTAACCAAAAAATTTTAAAGTATTTACGGTCATATGAAACAAAAATTGAATCTGTGATGAGATGTCCTGCTTCGGGTACTTGCAAAGCAAGTAGGTGTAATCATATCAGGACAAAGGAAAATGTAGAAGAATTAATAGAATGGAATAAATACCCAGGAAATTCATTTTGTATGGAAGGAAGTTCATTGTGGGGATACCAATGTACACTTCCAGGCGCCGCTTGTTACTTTTATAGAATATATGCATTACCAAAATCGGAAGAAAAATTTAAATTAATTTCATGTCCAACTTGGGACTATAGCATTGATTTGGATATAGAATTTATAATAAAAGGTAACTCAACAAAACAAAGATTTACACTAAATCCAGGCATGACATTCAAATGGCAAAACATTAAATTTACATTGATAGATATTACACCACCAATGGCTCCTATCCTTAATAGTGAATTTATTATAGGAGAAAAGGGAATTGCAATTTCGGAACAAATAAAAACATCTCTAGATTGTGGGTCACATAATAATTTCTCAAAATGTATATTAGACACTGATTCTTGTAATGAATGTTGGTTAGATCAGGAACAGGATAGAGTAAGTTGCTCTTGTTCAGATTTTATAGTTGAGGATATAATTAATGATCCTAAAAAATCATTACCATTGGACTCTTCTCTTATAAAATTGAGAAGTAAAGGAAATAAAATAGTTAGTGAATCACATTATTTGCCCATACAATTAATGATCCGGTTAGAAAATTGGACAATTACAAATAATATAGATGTTACAAATTGTAAAATAATACCAGAAAGTCTTAAAGGTTGTTATAATTGCCTGGGGGCGATATTTAAATTTAATTGTTCCTCTGAATTTGGTACTGCTCTCGCAGAAGTTAAATGTGATAGTGGAAATATATTTACAGCTAGATGTTCGGAAAATGGCACTTTACAAACAGCAGCTTTATCCTTTGATAGAGCGGAAATAAATGAGAACTGTGTTGTCCTATGTTCTGGTGGAAACACAAATTTTAATATGAAAGGCCAACTTGAATTCATACTACCGGAAAAACAAAAAATAATTATTAAAAATGGCACACCCAGATTTGTTTCTGAGAAAGAAAGTTCTTGGTTTAATAATAATTTATCAATATTTTCATCATTAGATTGGAGAAACTTTTTATGGGATTTAATTAGTGTACAAATGATACTGATGACATTTCTTACATTTATAATTCTAATAATAGGCATTCGGCTATTTTTAAAGTACAACCCGGCTTTTAGGGCATATCGATTAATAGCAACAGCCTATATTTGCTTTTTAATTTTTCAAGGCTCGGGAGGGTCTTTATACAGAGATGATACACAAAATCGTACAAAATATAAAAATGAAAGTTTAAATATAAAATATATGAATAATAAAATAAAGGGAAATGATTTGATCATTAAAAGAAACATTTTTTCCTCATTTACATTCATTTACAATTTAAAAAATATTTATAAAAAATCTTTAAAAATAAAAATGGTTATTTCTTTATTAAAATTTGCCTCGGATATATTTTATAGTGAAGAAGATGGAATGGCATGGCGTCTATACGATGGATTAAGAGATCGTCGTCGTTTAGAATATGAGGTAAAAAAGATAATACAAAATGGGGGAAGGTTATACTTTTGGACTCATAATAATGGAGAAAGAGAACCACAAATTTTGGCTCTCACCGATGAAGCGGATTGGCTTCTAGTGAGAGATATTCCCCTTATATTACTGGCTGTAACAGGACAAGAGATATGGTTAAAAAACACTTAACGGAAGATGAGAAATTACTCATTTCTATTGGACCTGGAATAATTATTGAAAATACATTTAATGGAGAGGAGGAATATTACCCATTGGATTGTTTAGGCATAGAACTAGGTAATAATGAGGAAAAATTAAGCAAAGGACTAAAATTAGAGGTTGAGGTACCCTCCGGAAATTTAAATAATATAAAATTAAATATAAACAAAGACAATACATTAAACTTACAGGCAAACATTAAACCGGATACTCATTTGACGAGCGGAGGAGAGGAATCCTCTGTGGTAGAGGTTAAAATCCGCGCTAAAATTTGGAAAGGAACAACAACATTATTATTTATTTTGTTCCTCACATTTCTGGTAGGCTGCAGTGGTGCGCCAGGTGATGAAAAGGCGCAAGAAAAGCCAGCGGAAAATAAAGATTGGGAAGTAATATATGATAGGATTTTGGAAAGTCCAGTAGCTAACAATACAACACCAGTTGTAGTTGTTAGTACTTCGGCCCCGGAATTATCGAAAGAAGAAAAGGAAAAGGCTTTCCACGCCTTTGAAAAAATACTGGAGAAATACTACACATCAACAAGCGTAGCAACATCTACTACTTTAAATCTTCAGCCATCAACATCACACAACTCGGCCCCCCGAACAACAACACAGCCCGTTTTACCAATCAAATATATTGAGCCAACATTCGAATTATTAAGCGATAATGGCACTTTCGAACAACCAGAACCATTCCAGCAACAACCACAACAAAACAGTTTTGGTGGACCGATTCGTTGCCGTCGTCCTAACACCAGATGTTTTGTATGCAATCAACAAGGACATTTAACCAAGTCTTGTCCGACATTAGTAGAACTACGCAGTGGTACTACTATGTTGGCAAGCACCTCACACAACAACAACATGTACGGGCCTTCGGCAAAGGCCCTTCGTAGAGCCGCTCACGAGCTCCAAGAAATGGCAACACGGTGGGCTAACAACCCATCTATTTCTCAGTTGTTGAAACAACTAGCCGAATTCTTCCTTCAAATGTCTACCAACATGCGCAACTAAAATTTTGCCGCGCGGAGTGTCATTTCTTCATGACGAATAAATTTAAAAATATATTTTTTTGGAATAAAATATTTTGTTAACACCCACTTAAATTTCTAGTATAAATATTTGGGCAAGAGAGGGACAATCATCTTCAATTGTCCTTATTTCACTAAAAAGCGTTGTTCCCTCTCTTGCCCCAAATTGTGAAATAATAATATATTTTGTAATTCTTTAATTGAAATAAATAAATATATAATTTTTATATATTTGGTTACCCTAAGATTTATCGATTTTAGGAAGGATAAAATTAATCTCTAAAATAGGGGAAAGATTTTATATGAGTATTAGACTGACTAAATCTATTTTAAAATTTTATATCCTAAGATAAATCAAGATAATACGAATTATATAGATATGGTATGAACTCTTGTGTTTGCTTGAGTATTAAACTGACCAAATCTATTTTAAATTATCAAAAAACCGGTATAATACCGGTCGGGATCCCGATACCGGCCAACTCTACATAAAAGAACAGTAACGCTGGAAGTAAGAGGGTCCGTTTAATAAAAGTGTCGGTATTATAGAGACAGTCGGTCTATTTTTAAATCTTCCTCTAGGGTGTCGGTTTATTAGAAGGGGTCGTTCTACTAGAGACAGCTGCACTATTAGAAGAAAACCGGTAATTTATTTTTATAATGACATTTAAAAATAATACAATTATTTGCTTGTTAAAAAAAGCTTGTTAAAGCTTGTTAAAAAATATATTTATTCAAATGTAAAAAATTAATAGGTAATTTAAAGTAACAATATATTAAACACAAAAAGAAGTCATTAAATATTTTAATTGGTTATGAATGAATGATTAAATTTGAAAATATCTGTGTAATATTACAGTATCTTAGACATAATGTACTTAATAATTACTTAAAATATAAAATAATTTTTACGCACCAATTATTTTACTTCCTTTAAAAATTCAAAAGGTACTTATCGGTTATCTTCCCACATTTTTTTATTTCATTTCCTTTTCCCCTTAAAATTACAAAATTGTCAAAGGCAAATAATGCCATTATTTATAAGTAAATAGCTCAGTTTTAGAACCAGTACCTCTATTTTCAGGTACTTCTCTCTCGTCTTTTATTTTCTGTTCCCATTTGCTTGAATGTTATAAATTTGCCAAGATGCTATCATTTTACTTTCAGTGAGTAGGCTCTCTATTCCAATAAAGATTTTATAGAATATAATGACATTGATGCCGGAACATCTAGGTACCTGA